AGTAGTAGCACTTAAAGGTTTTATTATTCTTACCGAACATTTTGTTAGCAATACAGCAGCGCATGAGATGGAATCCATGGTTGCATTCTATTCCTGGTTGCAAGACGTCATAATGAGGAAAGGTTTTAATGTAGTGGAGGGTTTCTTTGTAGAGGTAGTTTGTCATCTCCTTATGGCCAACACCACATGCCCTAGTAAGCGGGATATTGCCTGCATTGTCTACAATGGTAAGCAAACCTCGATTTTGTGGGACTAAGACTTTCGCCAAGTTTGTTCTTCCCTGAAATGCAACAAAGGAGAGAGCCGTGTGACCATTGCAATCCTTTTTCTGCAGATCTGTTTCTGACATCATATATGCCAATTCCTTGGCAATCTCATCTTGCTCGGCCTTGATTGCAACGTGAAGAACAGTTTCACCAAAGTCTGTAATTGGTCGACCCATGTCAGAAACAATTAACTCTCTTACAGCTTGCTTATCTCCATTGTAAATTTTCCTGGCCAACTCCACACAGCGACGTCTATTAGCTTCTTCCCCTGCATGCCAATATTTAAAAATATATATACTTCAGTAAGCTAGTATTTGAACGGGGAATATATCTCTTCAATAATACAGGTATATCAAATCAAATAGTACTTAGAGAGGTGCTTTGAGTTGGTGTCGGGATTGAAGATTAATTATGCAAAAAGCCAACTGATGAGCACAAATGTTGTGAAGGAGTGGACAAACGGAAATGGCATACTTTCTTAATTGCAAGATAGGTGAGATTCCGTTCAAATATCTTGGCACTCATGTGGGAGGAAATTCGAGGAGTACCTCTGATTGGAAAGGTCTTGTTGAAACTTTTGATAAGAAGCTATTCGGTTGGAAATGCCAATACTTTTCAATGGGAGGCAAGATTACTCTCGTTAACTCTGTGCTGTCCTCATTGCTCGTGTTCCAAATGTTGATTCATCTTCTCCCAAAAGGTACGCTATTTATCATTGATTCCATTCGAAGAAGATTTTTATGGGGTGCTTGTGAGAATAACAGAAAGATTAATTGGGTTAAATGGGAAAGGGTGTGTAGAGGGAAGGAAGAGGGAGGCTCAGGGATTAAGGATCTTAGGTGCTTCAATATTGTTCTTTTGGGAAAATGGTGGGTTAAATTATCTCAAGACTCAGGTTCCTTGTGGGCTAAAGTGATTAGTGAAAAGTATGGAAAAAAGGCGAGAAACTGGATTAGTATGTTGAAGGAAAGAAAGGGAAGAGGCTCTATTTGGTGGCAAAATATTACGAAGCTAAATAGTGTGGTGGTAGGAAAGGAGGGGTGGTTGTTAGACAATGTAAACTTAGAATTAGGAGAGGGGAAAAGGGTCAGTTTTTGGCATGACAACTGGTTAGGGGTAGGAGTTTTATCTAACATATACCGAAGATTATATCTTCTCTCGACAGGTCAACAAAATATGGTTAACCAAATGGGCACATGGTCTAATGGCCATTGGAAGTGGGACATAAAATGGAGGCGTAATCTCAGAAAATGGGAGGAGAAACTAGAATCAGACTTGCTTGGTGATATTTCCACAACCCAATGTAGACAAGGGATCAAAGATAGATGGGACTGGAAGTTGGACAACATCCATGGATACTCTACTAGTTCGACTTGCAGACTCTTAAAAGCCTCAAACCACGAAGTTGATGCAGAAATCTTTATGAAAGTTTGGAATCCACTGACCCCAAGTAAAGTTAATGCTATGGTGTGGCAGTTAATCCAAAACAAATTACCAACTAAATTTGAGTTGTTTAAGAGGGGGGTCCTGAATAGCTACAACATGACATCATGCTCCCTATGTAAAGAGGAAGTTGAGACCTCCAGCCACTTAT